CTGTGAGGAGGAAGTCTTCCCCCTGGCCATGAACTACCTGGATCGTTACCTGTCCTGTGTCCCCACCCCCAAGGCGCAATTTCAGCTCCTGGGTGCGGTCTGCATGCTGCTAGCCTCCAAGCTGCGCGAGACTACGCCCCTGACCATCGAAAAATTGTGCATCTACACCGACCACGCTGTCTCCCCCCGCCAGATGCGGGTGCGTGCATACTCCCCCACCCCCCCCACCCCTAACACATACCGCCTCCTCACCGGGAAAAGGAAAGCTAAGCCCTCAGAGGCTTTCTGCCCCCTGGGGGACGGCTCAGGGCCGTAGGGGCTATATATTTGGACAAAAGATGGGCAGTGCCGAGTGATGGTTAGAGTAGCCCCAATGGAAGCTTAAACTGCCAGCATGAACGAACTCCCCTTCTCCTGACCTCCAGGGGGTGCCACTCCTCTTGGTCTTTCCCCCAGATAGCAACAAGTCAAACTGCATGTCTACACTCACTAGTACTTTGCCTCCGGGTTTACACAACCATCATGAGTTATTTATTGGCAGCAGCAGGACATGCCTGCACACCCCCACTGGAGTGGGGGAGTGGAATGTGCTTCTTGTGGGGGAGGGGGGCTGCTTTGGGTGAGCCTTTATCCCGGTGTGGACTTTGTGATTGAAAAGCTTCCCAGAGCAGATTAAAGCCCAGCCCTGATTGCTCTCAGGAAGGGCTCGAGGAGTTTCATCCCACCTTCTTTCCTTCCTCTTATATCCCAGAAGAGACAGCTCCTTCCTAATCCTCATTGTGAGGAACCTGAGCAGCTGCCTCAGGCCTGGTGGAATCATCTCATCTCTCCCTTTCCCCCTTAGCCAGAGGCCAGAGCGGAGACAGGGAGCTGAGCTGCAGCTGCTTCCGATGTGATAATGATGCCCCCTCCCCTGGCCCGCCCACTCTGACCATGGTCTTTCATAACCCTGCGGGGAGCTGCTGTCACTCCTGTGGTTTGGGAAGTGGCTCCCTGGGCCTCTGGCTAGGAACTTGGGCTGGGCTCTTCCGAGGCAGGGCAGGAAAGTCACCGGTTCTCTTATCCCAAAGCCTGAGGTCGGGGAGCTGCCTGGATCTGGAGGAGGGGTATGCAGATCACCTCCCAGGGTGGGGGTTGGAGGGGGGGGTCTGGGAGAGGGTGGGTGAGCGGGCACCTTCCTCAACCTCGCTCTATACTGCCAAGTCTTCTCCTGACCCTGAGAGAGTCTCTGGGCCCCATCTCCCGGGGAGGAGGGCAGCGTGCAGGCTGCTGTGATTGGCTGGCCAGGAAGCCAGGGTACTGGGGCCCCCGACTGCTGCTTGTCCAGGAACAGGATTCCTCTTCCTGCCAAGTAGCTCTCAGAGATGGGAGTAGGAGGCCGGAGTTGGGAATCTGGGAGGCCCCACAGCGCTTTGTGATGAATCCGGTAGTTTTTGGCAAGTTTGAAGGTGGAGCTGCTTTCCAGGGCCAGTGGGAAAGATGTTTTTGGAGGGGTTTGGGCTGGAAGGTAAAAGGGAACTTCCTTTTTTGTGTGAGAAGTTTGGGATGGTATGTGTGCCTTTGTACCAGGGAAGTTTTTCAGAACAGGCAAAAAATACTCTTCCCCCACTCTCTCCGCCTGAGCTGGGGGTGGAGCGTGCAGATGGCTTCCTAGAAGGTCAGAGTTGGAAGGGACCTCAGTGAACTCGGCAGTCCAAATGCTTGTGAGAAGGCGGAGGCCCAGAGGCGGAGGGCAGGGTCCTGCCTTGGCAGCCTGAAGCAGATGACGAGAATCTGGGTCTTCTCGCTAGCCCAGGTGGCCCTGAAGGCCAGAGATATGATGGAAGCTGCCAGCCACGGCAGCTAAACCCTCCCTGGGGTATGTTCTGTGCCAAACGAGGACTGAGATTCTCAGGGGCTGCCCGGAGACAGGGTAGGGTGGCCACCTTCCCTCACACAGGACCCCATGCCTCCCCACAGGGCCAGTCCCGCTCCAAATTGCCTTTCAGGTGTTTCCTTGGAGGCTAGGTACTTTCTATTCACTTCTGAGTTAGGAGTTTGGCCACTGGGACAAGCACCAGGGGTAGAATGCTAGCTTCTCTGCCCAACTTCTGGCTCCAGGCCAGGCTGTTTTCTGTGGGCCCTGTGAGAGGTTTGGGGCTGATTTGGGAGGATGACACCTAGGCCGGGGCTGGGAAGAGGTTGGGTGGGGTTGCTATTTCTCTCTCAGTAAGGAGTTCCTTCCTGAGATAAAACAATGAAGAAATCCTCATATGTGCAACTCAGAAATGGGGCCAGGGCTGCAAACCCCAGACAAGTGGATTGGGGCTCCCATCCGCCTTCTGGGATCTAGCAGGGGTGTGCAGGCTGGGGCAGGTAGAGATCGGGCTTGGTCCCTCGGAGACCACCCAGACCCATCTTGTTTGGCATGGCCTCCACAGCTCTTTCCGAGACTCAAATGGCACTAAGCACTGTGGGTTCCAGTTGAAGGGGGTGGGGTGGGTGTTATATCTCAGGACCCAACCCTGATGTCCCACCAAGGGGATGTGGGTTGGGTTGGGCAACGTCCCCTTTGAGGAACCTCAGAGTTAGTTCAGTGACTGTATCAGAGGTGGTGTGGCCTCATGCTCACTCGGGTTTCTACAAGAGGCATAGGCTTGGCTGGGATGCAGAGCTGGGGAGAGGCTAGTGGTGATTTCCCCTTTTACAAATCCTTGGGATTATGGGGAGTCTGCTTTACCCCAGAGGAGCCTCAAGTTCATGGAGATGGTGGTGGTTTCTGTTGCCGCAGTCTTTTCATTCAGTCCCAGCTGGAGAAGTGCTCAGAGCCCTGGGTCAAGTCAGAAAAAGGCCTGTATTATTGGCCCCCCAAAGATAACCAGACAAGATCAAAAGACAATTCATGTACAGCATGTAGTCTGGCACCTAGTAACAAACAAATGCTCAGAGCAAATGTCCCCAGCTCTTCCCTGCCCTGGACTCTCCAATCCACAGTGCCAGTCCCTAAACCCAGAAGCAAAACTGGGGTCTTCACCTTCGACTTTGATGGGCTTCCTTCTCCGTTACTCTCTTCCCTGGCCTTCTTTAGTCACTGACCCCACCTTCTTCTCCAACCTCCAGGACTGGGAGGTGCTGGTCCTGGGGAAGCTCAAGTGGGACCTGGCTGCTGTGATTGCCCACGACTTCCTGGCCCTGATCCTGTACCGCCTCTCTCTGCCCAGCGACCGACAGGCCTTGGTCAAAAAGCATGCTCAGACCTTTTTGGCCCTCTGTGCTACAGGTAATACACTCCAGGCATATTTTTGCCAAATCAAGAAAATCAAGACGTGGGAGGGTCAGAGGAGATGCTTGTTACATGCCTTTTAAAATTTGTGAAAATTATGTCCCCTCTGAGCCCCCAGTTTCAATACAGAAAAGATGCAGAGCACAATCTAAGCTGTATGGGATCTTAGAGACCCCAGTACAAATGTAGGTGGGGACTCAGGGCTTAGAGAGAAGTGATTGCCCAAGGTTTCACGGTGATTAAATTAGGAGCAGAACCCAGGTCTCGACCCTGGTTTTGTTTCCACACCAGGGAGAGAGACTCATTCACTCCCTGGTGCCTGGCCTGAGTCCCTTAGGGACCACCCTGGACCTGGCCTGCACAAGTCTGCTATTCACCCTGACCCTCTAGGAGAGGATCTCTCCTACCTCTCTCTCGCCCCTGTCTGACACAACTCACTGCTGGCATTTTCCAGTGGGCCCCTGCTCTATTCCTGCTGCCTGGCACTTTCTGAAGGATAGGAAGTCCACCCTGGTTGTTATTCTTGATGTTCTCCTTGCCTCATGGTTCCCTCTCCCTCTTCCCAAGATTACACCTTTGCCATGTACCCACCATCCATGATCGCCACAGGCAGCATTGGGGCTGCAGTGCAAGGCCTGGGTGCCTGGCCCGCGTCCGCAGATGAGCTCACGGAGCTGCTGGCAGGGATCACAGGCACTGAAGTGGTGAGTGCTGGGCAGCTGGGCAGCAGCCTGTCAATCCATGAAGCGCTGCTATTCCCTGAGCCTCCAGTAGAGGGAGGTGTCCATCTCCAACCTGGTGCCCACTCCTGGTTTCACGGGCCCTGCCCTTGGGGCTTCTGTGGTGTTTTATCTACTGCCTTGTCTGGGGAAAAGCAAGTGGTCTTGGGTGGGTTGCAGGGCACCATCCCTTGGTGCCCTTTTCTGCCAAATGGTGTGCAGGAGTGGGGGTGGGAGGTTTGGTGTCGGATGCAGGGCTGCGCTCACACCCTGTTGCCACATCCTCTTGCCAGTTTCTGAGAATTGAAGGCTGATTCCTGGGGCTGGGCTGTGGCCTAACCTCCCCAGACTTCCCTGTGTGCTGGGAGGTGTCCGTCCCCTGCAACTGCTGCCAGATGCTATGGGAGGAGGGAAGTGGACCTTTAGCTCCAATGGGACCTTCCTCCACCTCACCCAGCATTCCCTCCTCACTGTCCCCCCTTGTTCCCAGGACTGCCTGCGGGCCTGTCAGGAGCAGATTGAAGCTGCACTCAGGGAGAGCCTCAGGGAAGCTGCCCAGACGTCCCCCAGCCCAGCACCCAAAGCCCCCAGAGGCTCCAGCAGCCAGGGGCCCAGCCAGACCAGCACTCCCACAGACGTCACAGCCATCCACCTGTAGCCCCGGAGAGGCCCCCTCCAGTGGCCACTGACAGCAGAGGAGGGTCGCTGCCACCCTCCCTCCCTGCAGGAACAAACCACGTCACATCTGCCACAACTGAAGTCTGGGGGGGCTCCTCCCTATTTGCCCTTTGCTAAAGAGAAGGGGGCAGGTCCTACCTATCCCTGCAGTGTGCACTAAGGGGCCCGGCCAGCCACGTTTGGGTGGCTAGTCAGGCCCCTCCTTCTCCCTGCCTCTGACCAGCTCAGCTCCTTCCCTGGTTCTGGCTGGAGGTGGGTCGGCTGGTCAGAGACAGAATTGAAGAAGGTAAAATAGATGTAACCAGCATTCCTTATTGAGGCCCCCTATCTCTGGGGCTCTCACGTTCTCAACTGCCAAAATGCCCTGGTGCCTTACAAAGGTGCTGCACCTTCTAGAGTTACTGCATTTGGATTGGGGTCTTTCTGAAGAAATTTCTGATATTCTGAGGGGACACAGTCTGGACAGCTCTTCTCAACATACTTTGGAGAGCCCTGCATAATCCGTGCTCACAGCTGCTCCTAGAGGGAGGGGGGCCCAGGCCTCTGTCAGAGGTTCAAGAATCAACCAGTTCCTCCTTGCTTTGCTTTCTGCCCAGTTTCTCCTGTGATTGAGGGGGGTCAGTGCTGAAGGAAGAGGTGGTTTTAATTTATTAATTGTGTTGAGTACAACTGTAAGAGGGTGTGGTGGGGCCCACCAGCCCAAGTGGTGGTGACCCTGGCGGTTGCTGCATCCCTCCTCTGCTACTGGCGAGAGGATCCTTGTGACCGAGGAGCTGCTACGGCCTGGGAGGGGCCAGGCCCTCCTCTCCCTTTGGCCCTCGGCCCGTCCTGCATCAGGGGATGGAGCAGGGGTGACCTGGAGGTGACCAAGCCCGCTGTCTGGAGATGCGAGCCCTGTTAACACAGGCCTTTCCCTAGGCCACAAGGTCCAGTTGCTGGCCCGGGACCATCATGCTACCTTAATAAAGATTCTGGAATAAAGTTGGCCTTGGCTTCTTGGATTGGATGGAGGTGTGGGTAAAAGCATGAGGTAAAGAGGGCAGAAATCAGTGGTTCCATCAAGCCTGTTACGGAAAGGGCCTGAGTAAATATTTTGGGCCTGTGAGCTATCATCTCTGTCCCACATAGAGTCAGTGCTACTTTATAATGGAATGTGTGCGCTCCTAAAAATCATTGTACTTTGCAAAACTGCCTAATAAAATCCATAGGACTTATGTATGGGCACAACATGCAAAAACTTAATGAGCGTTATGTTTTTTAAAAAAATGTTGATTTCAGAGGGAGAGATACAAACATCAATAATGGGAGAATAATCTATGGCTGCCTCCTACATGCCCTCTACTGGGGATCAAGCCCACAACCCTGATCCGACCCACATGGTTCATGGATCTGTGCACAATCACACAGCAGGGTTGAGTGACATGTTCTTTATTTCTTCAAAATATATTTTATTGATTTTTTACAGAGAGGAAGGGAGAGGGATAGAGAGCCAGAAACATCGATGAGAGAGAAACATCGATCAGCTGCCTCCTGCACACCCCCCACTGGGGATGTGCCCGCAACCAAGGTACATGCCCTTGACCGGAATCAAACCTGGGACCTTTCAGTCCGCAGGCCAACGCTCCATCCACTGAGCCAAACCAGCTAGGGCGAGTGACATGTTTTTTAAAAAAGAGGGGCCTGGCTGCCTTGGTTCAGTGGTTGAGCGTGGACCTATGAATCAGGAGGTCATGGTTCAATTCCTGGTCAGGGCACATGCCTGGGTTGCAGGTTTGATCCCCAGTCTGGGGCATGCAGGAGGCAGCCAATCAATGATTCTCTCATCATTGATGTTTCTCTCTCTTCCTCTCTGAAATCAGTAAAAATATATTTTAAAAAAAGGACAGCATAGTTTTTATATACTATATGGTTAAGAAACACAAATATAACATAGTCCTTTATCTTCAAAAACACTTGAAGTTCGCTTGTGGAAGCAGAGGTTGGGAGGATGTGGAAGGCAGGTTGTGGATGTGACTCCCAACCCACATGTCAGAGGTGCTTGCACTTGTGTATCTGGCTTGGTTCAGCTTGGTGCAGTTTTCTGATTTTATGTATTGTTTCTCAAGGACAAAACTGCATATAAATAAATGTGCTATTTGTTTTATGATAAAATTGTTCCCAAATATATTAATTGGGTTGGAACAAAGTCACATTTTCAAAGGCAAACAAGGGTTCCAGGATTGTACTCTGCTATTGCAGCATGAAAGTAGCCATGGGAAACATGTAAATAGATGGGAGTGGCTGTGTCCCAATAAAACTATGGACACTGGAATTTGAATTTCACATCATTTTCACCTACCATAAAATACTCTTTAAAAAAATTTTCCCATCCATTAAAAAATGTAAACACCATTCTTAGTTCATGGGCATAAGAAAATGGGCATATGACCCTAGTTTGCCAACCTCCAGTCTAATGCTCTCATTAGCCAGAAAGGGAACTTGTCTGGTGGTGATCCAGCTCTAATTATCCTGGGCACAACCAATATTCTCTGATCTGTCTGGCCTTTGCATTTCCACTTCCCTCTAGGGCAAGCATGTCAAACTCGTGGCTCGTAGGCCACAGGCCTACTTTATTTGGCCCATGTCAGCCTTTGAGTTTGACATGCTTGCTCTAGGGCAGTGGTCGGCAACTCATTAGTCAACAGAGCCAAATATCAACAGTACAACGATTGAAATTTCTTTTGAGAGCCAAATTTTTTAAACTTAAACTATATAGGTAGGTACATTGTTATTAACTTAATTAGAGTACTCCTAAGGCTTAGGAAGAGCCACACTCAAGGGGCCAAAGAGCCGCATGTGGCTCGAGAGCCACAGTTTGCCGACCACGGCTCTTGGGGCTCTCTCCTCTAGCTCTTCCACCCACAGCTGAGACAGACCTTCTTTTGAACAACCTCCTGGTTCCTGGCATTCTCCCAAAGCAGCCTGTATTGAGGAAAGGCAGAGACGAGCCCCCTAGGGGCTAACTCTGGGTATAGCCTGGAGAAACGAGCTTGGAGAGTTAGGATAGGGGTGGGGGTCCTCAGTATACTGGGTAAGAATCCACTCCTAGGCAGGAACAGGGAAGAGTAATCCCTACCTTTAGATAAAGAGGGAAAACAGAAAGATCTGCATTGATCACAATAAAACACAGACACTCAATAAATACCCGCCTTTTCATCCACATCCCAGGGACTTGACATAGCCTGGGAGAAAGAACTCGAAGCCCCAGCAGGGCAGTGGGAATCCTGGGGTGTGGATCTCAAACAGGTTCCAGAACTGAGCAGCAACAATGGTCTGACCCTCGGTCCGCCCTGCAGGGTACTGGGGGGTCCCAGATGCCCAGGAGCTCTCACTGCCCAGTTGTAAAGGCTCAGTGTCACCTTAACTGGGATCCTGGTGTCCTCCCACACCCCTCAGACCAGGATGAGTGGCTGTTTCCTCAGTCCATGGTGATGGGAACATCTTCCACATCTCGGGGCACTGCGCTCTGAAGCTCACGCCTGATCTCAGGGGACAGCTGGGGATGGGGCTGCAGCCGGAGCAGTTCTAGGAGGGCCTCTTTCTGCTCCATGGCCAGGTCTGCCTTATAGCGCTGGGCCAAAGTCAGGAGGCACTGGTGCCAGAGCACGGGCAGTTCACGCTTCTCCGTCCGGAACCCCAGGAAGTGGAAGACCAGAGCGTCCAGCACCCTGTAGGGCAGTGCGTACTTCTTATCCAGCAGCAGCCGCAGGAAGATGCTGTTGGCACCGCTGTAGTCCATCTCAGCAATTTTCAGCATGGCCGCGCTGGTGGGAAGATGGGTGGAGTCAGTGGTGGGGAAATGTTGGGGGAGAGGGCCTACCTCTCCCTCTGTGCTTTCCCCCTCTTCTCCTCAACTGGCCCTTACACTGCGGTACGCCTAAAAGGGCCATCTCAGGCCTTCTCACCTATGCAGTGCAGTCTTTTTTCAAGTAATTTTATTTATAAAAAAAATTTTTTTTAACATTTTTATTGATTTCAGAGAGGGAGAGGGATAGAGAGATAGAAACATCAATGATGAGAGTGAATTACTGATCACCTGCCTCCTGCACGCCCCCTGCTGGGGATCAATCCCACAACCCAGGATGTGCCCTTGGCCGGAATTAAACCTGGGATGCTTCAGTGGGCAGGCCAACGCTCTATCCACTGGGCCAAACCGGCTAGAGCATCTGTGCAGTCTTGATCCTCCTCCCCCTGCACTCCAGTTATCATCTCTAATTGGGATGCTGATTCATCCCAAGTCCCTACTCCTGGCTCAGAGTGCATGTCTCACTCAGTATCCAACTAGAGTATGTTCAAATATCTCAACATCTCCACCCCTGACCTATTTCCTTCCCATGTTCCCTATTCATTCCTTCAACTATTTACTGAGCACCTACCAAGTGCCAGGCACTGGGACCCTGTTCTTATGGAATTACAATCTAGTGGAGTAATGATGTACCTAGTGGCTTAAGCCACAAAATCAGGGCTACGGTATTCTCAGCTCCTTCTCCACTCTGTACCCCCACCAACTCCAAGTCCTGGTGATTCCACTGATGAGTCATCCTTTTTCCCCCGGAGTGGGAACACTACCTGGAGTGCAGCACAGGAATGGAGCATTTGGTGATGATGCTGCCCACGATGATGGCTTCCCGGAGGGTACAGGTGCCCGACTCACACAGTGGGATGAGGATCCCTGGGGAGGGTCAGAGGGGCAGTCACTGTGAGCTGAGGGTGAGAGAAAGGATGCAAAGCAGGAAGCACCCCCACCTACCACAGAGCCAGCCATCTCCCAAGTCATGCTTACTGCTATCACCTGCAGGAGCTCTAGCCCCTCTCTTCCTTAACTGCCTCCTGGGTTCTCACCTTTAAACCAGGCTCCAGGCTTGAAAAGGGCCTTCTTGAGTGCCATGTAGAGGTGGAAATTGAGTCGTTTGTATTCAGCAATATCATCTCGTACCCGGGGGAGCAAGACAAGGTTGTAGAAGCGCTGAGCCATGCGTTCCTTCAGGTTAGATGAGAAAATCCTAGTTTTTTTGGGGGGGTAGCAAGGACATCCCAGGTCACTTGACAGCCTGGAGCTGGCCCTTTAAATATCACTGTGGATGGTGCATGCAAAAGATCTGAGGGGTGTGTGAACTATGTGCATGCAGCACCCAAATCAGATAGGAGGGAACAGGAGGTCTACAAGATGCATCCAAACAGGTGAACACCGAGAGAGCCAGAGTGCTCCCAAACCAATGGCAACTCAGCTATTCACCTTCCTCTCCCCATCGTGGGCCTTCTCTACCCTACTCTTTGAGGGACCCGAGCACGTGTGGGGAGCCACAGACTTCTGAGGCCTGTCTGACACCCCAGGGTGGTAGCCCAGTAGTTATAAGCCTCTTCCCTAAAAACTCATCACAGGCGATTTTCAACAGGGTCTTGGCCCCAAAACATGAAACGGGAAAATGATGATATAAAGAAGCACAAGAGAGAGCTCTGGGGCAAAGTTAAAATGTAATGGCAGCCCTGGCTGGTGTGGCTCCGTTGGTTGGGCGTCATCCCATGCACCAAAGGGCTGCTGGTTCTATTCCCAGTCAGGGTGCATGCCCTGGTTGCGGGCTCGATCCCCAGTGTGGGGGGCGGGGGGCCTGTGGGAGGCAGCCAATGTTTCTCTGTCTCCCTCTCCCTTTCTCTCTCAATAAAAAATATTTTTTAAAAAATGTAATGGCAGCCCTAGCCGGTTTGGCTCAGTGGATGGAGCATCAGCCTGCAGACTGAAGGATCCTGGGTTTGATTCCGGTCAAGGGCACATGGCCGGGTTGCAGGCTCGATCCTCAGTAAGGGGTGTGTGGAGGCAGCCAATCAATGATTCTTTTATCATTGATGTTTCTCTCTCTCTCTCCCTTCCTCTCCCTTCCTCTCTGAAACCAATAAAAATAAATATACATAATAAAAATATAGAGAAAAAAAAAGTAATGGCA